ACGTGATTTTAGGTCACTATAATTTAGCCAGATTAATCATCAGAAAGTCAAGGACAAAGCCACCAGTCACCATCCCGCCGGCTCTTTTGCCGCGTCCGGTCAACCGGTCGACGAACCGAAGGCGTCTCGTGCGAACTCGATCAACCGTGGCGGTGAAACGGTGCCGTGGAGCGGATCGATAGCTCAAAAGTGCACTGATTAGGGGGTTTAATACGGTTTAAACCTCCAAAAATATGTATTTTAACAAGTAAACTAAGATAAACCAAGTAAACTTCAAAAACTTCAGACATATGGGCAATGGCAAGTTGAACAATAAAGGATTGAGGTATTTTATCAGGTGCCGATTTCTTGGGACTCTCGAAGTAATCGAACCTGGCAACGGGAGAAGTCACATAACATGCTGGGATGAGATATGCCATATGGATATATTGGGGTAGCTGCTTCGATGAACCAACTCATGTGGGGAAATGGATGAAAAAACTAAAGCAATTGTAAATTTGCTATACCCTCTGATAATCAACCATGGGCTAGCTGGAAAATCCAACGTTTGAAAAGTTTGTAGAGGATTTTGTCAGCAAGAAACCTCCATTGCTGGACTCCAGATTTTCCAGCTCGCCGCATTTGATGACACCTGAGGCTATGCATATCTCGGAATCCAGTTGGAAGATCTCAGCTACCAAATCGTTGGAACAGATTTTTAAATGAAATTTATCCATATGGAATCCATATGGAGGTTTCCGTGCATACTGCACTAGTAATCTTTTCCAGCACATTCGAATCCAGAAGAGTTCGGGATCTGATAATCTATTATCATCTAGTTAAAAAGGTGTCCTAAAGCGGGGTACGAGTACCGGCGCCAATAGCGACCCTAAGGAATTTGAATATTGTTCAAAATGGCAAGAGCTCAAAACCTGCATTTCAGAACATTTTTGTGTGGAAGTCAAGATTTCAAGGCTTCAAATTCGTTGGTATTTGCAGGAAGGCCATTCTTGATTTTGGGCCATTGGAAATTGGAATTGTGGTTTTCAAGACTTCTTTTAAGCCAGGCACCCAACCTTCTCACAGCAACATATTGTTTCCTGATTTTCCTGGGTCATCGTCTGAGTCTATGTTCCATGATGTTTACTTGATTTTGCGTAGCATGACGTATGTCACGTGAAGCTAAATTCGAGTACATTAAGCTACCGTTGTGTGCAAGTTCTATTGAACATTATTGCACTCCCCCAGCCCACCCGAAAACCCCACCATGAAAAGCAAGTACCGTAACATCATGTATGATCATGTATGTTAGTGCAGGTCAACGTCAAGTAGCGTGGCATCCACTGAGAGTACAAGACATGTTTGCAGGTGCAAAATATGTTCAAGTACAGTGGCGTTTAATGATGTATATTAGTTCAACTTAAACTGAACATAGCATAGCATCATCTATGTTAGAAGGAGTCAACATCAAATACCGTAGCATGAGTTATATTAGATAAAGTTACCTTTCAGTCACTGTCACTGTCAGTAGCGCGGCATGGCATCATCAGCACCTTACAAGCAACGTCAGGTACCCTCTGGTAATTTAACGTAGCTATTGAAAATTGCCATTTATAGTTGATTTACCCATTAAAAATGGTGATTTTCCATAGCTATGTTAGTTTACCAGAGGGTAACATCGAATTTTCTGCGTGTGCAAGTGCTATTGAACATTATTGCACCCCACCCCACCACCCCCCCCCACCAGCCAGAAACCCCCATAAGAAAGCTGCGTTTTCCTATGGGGTCGCTAACAGCGCCATTAGCTAAAATGGGGGTACCCCCAAATCATCCAGTTTGGATCATTTTGGTATATTTAAATAAGATTGTCCATTACAAACCACCCAGCCATTTGTGTATCCCCATTGCTTCAATAGGCTTTGAAGTCGATTCGCCCCAGCGACGTAGCATCTGTACTGGCTTGTAGACATTTCTTGAGGCAGAGACTCGTCTGTCGTTCCTAATCAGTTACCGGAAGTATCGAAAGGTTACATCCAAAATGTATAGCAGTATAACAGTCATAGAAAGTCATAGAAAGTCATAGACAGTCATAGAAAGTATCGAAAAGTAATGTCCAACTATCAACTATGTGTATGTATATATATTATTATATTATATTATATTATATTATATTATATGAATAGTGGCAAATTACCATTCTATCTGTTTGGTGGTCCAAAGGACTAAGTCCTTGATTGTCCGGGGCAAAGTCCATCGACAAACCCGAGGGGATTGTCTGAGCCACGAACCAGGGATCCCTAGGAGCAGTGCTATACTATTTGGGTATATCTGATAGGGCACACACACAGAAATCCCGTGGTTTGAAACATCAAGTTAAAACAAAACACGTGACAGGTTGAAGTGTACCCATTTTATCCCATGTTCAGATATAATTGTTAATTACTGGCGTGTTGCGATTTAAAGTAGTAAAAGGATTTGGCCTCTCTCAGTTCTAAACGGGGTTCTATATCCATGTACCCCTAAGTATGATAATGTAGCAATTAGAGCAACGCCCGTAAAAAATAGAATCACAATTTACCACAACTTTATTAGTAAATCATATAGATTTAATATTTTTGGGTAGAAACCCATTTATGTTCATTTTTTTTTGGGGTAGCTATGAATGGGTCAGTTTGTAGACACAATTACAACTGGAAGGGGCCCATGGGCCAATGGGGCGTGTCCACCGGTTGTCTTCAAGTTTGACTCCTCCCCACATCATTTCTGGATACTGTATATACTTCGTACCAATTCCTACTGCAACACAATCTAATGAACCGCAGAGTTCTTCGTCAACATGTAAATTCTAAATGATTTCAACCACTAAAACCAGCCATCTAATAGTTGATAACCATTAACAGTTGATTATCACTAATAACCAGCCATCTAATAATGTTGTCAACCACTAAAAGTTGATTATGTGAGGTGACTAATTTGTCAACTCCAGAACAACCCCCAAATTTGGGGCGTGATATTCTGCTGGAGCCAACTAAACTAAGTTCAGCAAATCATCAGTCCGACGTTTTTTGGGGGTTAATATGGCTTAATCCTCCAAGTAATCACAGGAATCCAGGGTTGACGAATCACATCCTAGCTCTTATCTAGCTTTTATCTAGCCCAAATGACATGGATAGCTAAGCTCAGATCATTGCCCGGTGTCTACAAGTTTCCCAGTCCCGCTAACATGTCGACCAGGCATCACTGGTCGCCATGTGACTGGCTTTTGTGGCCTCCCTCGAACATCCAAGTCTCGCCTTTCTGGTGGTTTAAAAACCCATCTGCCAAAACCATGGAAGCATTGCACAGTTATGGCCCTTAACAGCTTTAAATTGGTTTATAATGATATATACCCTCTGGTAAACATACAAAAAGCTATTGAACATGGTCATAGAAATAGTGGATTTTCCCATTAGAAATGGTGGATCTTTCCATAGTTATGTTAGTTTACCAGAGGGTAACATATATAACCTTAGTTAATTGTTTATTGGCCATAACTGTGGGGACCATCGTCCCATTTGGAGCTTGCTGGTTGAAACCCATCTAAAAAGTCCGGTTGAAGCACAAGAATTGATAGGGTCCCGGGTCAAAACCGATGAATTTACCCTCTGGTAAATAAGCATAGACCCTGAAAATCACCAATTTTTAATGGAAACTAGTCTTCCAACCCCGACAACTGCCAGGGTCGAACTGTTAATTTACCAGAGGGTACGTGCTGAATTTGGGGGAATCAACATCCTGCGCAACTATTTTGGGTTGCGCTTGGCTAGGAACCTGGAGCTAATAGCCACATTTGAAACGAAACCAAGCCAGGTCACTCCTGGAATGATTTGCCGAAGCGGATCGTTCAGAATCCAAGATGTCAATAATTGTCAATAAAACAACTAATGTGTTATCCTATAATATTAAACTAACATTGATTTAGAAAACCATCATTTTTTTATGGGCAATTCAACTATATATATAATATAAATGGTCATTTTTAATAGCTATGTTAGTTTACTGGTATAAGAAACTACAAGGGATGGTTTTACCACGTTACCCTAGTGCCCCTAGTGCAGTAGTTATACCTTCTTCGAAGTGGAAAAAACACTTCGTTCAGTGAGGTTTGAGTCCTTGGGGGAACGGTCCCTGAACTGAAACCCTGCAATGTTCACCTAAATATCCAGAACTTGTCACTTGGAACGAGCAGGAAGAGAAAATGAACTCATTTAGTACAATTGCAAATACACATGATGCCTGCGTGTATATATATATATATTATAATTATATATAGTGTATATATATATAGTAATTTAATTATATACAATATATACAGCATTATACAGTATGTGTATCTGTACTGTATATGGATACGGTATGTGTACACACCCATGCCCATCTAAATAAATAAATACATATATGTGTATATGTATATATATATATATATATTCAAACATATACAAACGCATATTAATATGCATGACTATATATATATCATTATATATCTATAATATTATAAACATATAAATGCATTGACCTGAATTTCTTGCACATGAAATAAAGGGCGTTGTCATGGCTTTGCAATCCAAATCTTACGGATGCTTTCTCTCAGACCATGAAAAACATCTGGCAGCTGCAAACAGTTTCAAGCTTGATAGAATGACATCATTTGTGCCAAAGAAACACGTTTTTTTTTTTAATCTGTCTAGGCCCTCTAACTTGCGCAAACAAGTTTTGTTCTTCTGGAGGCAGCCACAAAGGCCAACAGAAATTGTCCCCATCCCCCACGTGGGGGTGCGAATTGATGGATTCAAAGCGGCTGAAACGATGCCTCTGGGACCTTTCTTTTCTGCCCAAGGGGCGAGCTAATGATGCACATTGGACGAGATAGACCGGCAAGGACCCAGAGAAAAATTGGAGTTGAACAAAAATCCCATGTATATCCAAAAATGGGAAACATCCATGTATATCCAAAAATCCATGTATATCCACGTATATCTTTTTCATTGCCCATTTTTGGGCCTTTGGGGTAAAGTACCCTCTCTGTTTCTGCACAGAGGCAACCGCTTTGATCCAGCATGGAGTCTCCGCGTTCTGGGCGGCTGGTTCCTTCGGAGCCGGCAGCGTTTATCCGTGACCTCGTGGCCTGGCAGATGGGCTGGACCACTGGAGCGGTAACTTTAGGAAATAAACATCATATGGATATAAATATGATAACTTTATAGCTACTGTATATCCATATGATATATTTATATGTTCATATTTATAAATGGCCATATTAGGGGGGTTCCATAAATATAGCTACTGTACCCCAAATGGATCATTTATAATATTTTATAATGGACAATCCATCTGTAAATGGATGAGAACTGGGGGTACCCCCATTTTAGGAAACCCCCATCTTTCACCAACAAATACCTTACTGCGATCCAGTGATTCCCAAAGGGAATAGTCAACCATCGAAACCAATGCGGACATGGCACCGAGACAAATGCTGCATTTTTTCCGCCACAAGGCTGGAAATATACTAATCAACCCAAACGGGATCATAGGAATGATAGGGGTATTTATGTAACAAGGGCTCCAACAAACTTGCTTCCGCGTTCTCTGTCTCGACTGTGACAATCTCTGGTAGGCCAGCCCGGCCACCTTGGTTCCCAACACGCCAAGGCCAGAAATTTTAGCCAGTAGTCCCCGTAACCCGGTACTTGCTCATGCCCAGAATGGCAACCACATCTGCAACACCTTGTGCTTGTGGGTTCAGCTGGCCATCCCCTCCTCGCCACACATGGCTAGAGATTCCAGAACCAGATGCATCAGGCAAGTCCTCCGGCAGCTCGGCTACTGCCATGACCCATCACCCAGGCAGTGAACACAAAGTGGTATGCTTGATGTGCTAGGATGTGAATGACCCGGCGGGCCTGACTAGAGGTATCTGCCCGCCAGTTCAGATTTCTGTAGAAAATGATTGCTTATGAGTTACAGTACATATACCATCATATACCCCTATATGATTGAGAGTACATATATATATATATATAATAAATAGTATATATATAATTATATATATATACCCCTTTGATTATTGGCTATAAAGATGTATAAAACCAGATGAATTTTCATTGATTCCCCTAGCTCGAGCAGGATTCCGACGCCAAGTCGCTAGGGATCCATCGCAAGTCTCCCAGCATTTGTGGTTATACCACCCCCCAAAAAAAATATGTTTTGGGGGATGGTGTATTGTTGGGTTTAACACCGAAAATTGCAGTCTATTCTTAATCCAGTCATTCTTAAAATTCAGAAAACATGTCAAGGGAAGAGTCAATGAGTGGAGCCTGTGGAGCCCCAATTTATAGCATGGAAGACACCAATCAGTTGCCATATCAGTTGCCATATCCACGGACAAAGCTTTCGGGCAGGGACCATCCTGGCCATCCAGGCCCTTGAGAAAATCCACGGGATTGTCCGTCACGACTCAGGGTTGACAAAAAGGGTTGAAGGAGCAGAATGATCGTTTTTACACATTGCTTTAGACCAAATAAACCATAATAAACCCCCATTCCAAGGATGTTCATCCAATCTAACATGAAAAAAATGGGGCTGTACATACATTTGTGGATACATGTGTGGATAAACCACGTGCCATGTGTTGACCACATGTGCGGCCTGTCTGGTCTGTAAGGTAGGCCACCAAAGTCGTGAGAATCTGCCCAGAAACATAACTCATCCTTTGCCCCTAAATATGCATTGTATTTACCCATAAATACAGATAAAAGATGATAAAAGTGCAGGTTAACATCCCAAAAAATGTTGGGTTTATTTCCCCACGAACAATGAACAGAACCTGTTGCTGTTGGGGACACATACTTACACTGTGATGGTTTTATGGTGACAAAATGGGTAGATTGACGGTCTCCCAGTGTTTCTCAGATGCGGTCCCATCAATGAGTAGCTATTTTCTGGTGTTCCACGGATCATTTGTTTGGCAAACTCATGTCCAGTTGATGTAGTAACCAATATTGAAAACATCTCTCCCCACGCCAAGGCGTGCCTCCAGTATTATCGTATTCCGAGATTCCTGACATCGCCAAGGAACAATCAGTATCATGCGGGCTGGATTGCCGGGAAAAAAAGAGTAATTGTGCACAACGGGATTCTTGTGAATTCTTCCCCTCAAAAACGGGGATTTCACCATTGCAAGGAACGAACCCAGCGGAGAGAACTAACTTTAGATTGCAGAGACACACGCGGTCAAGGGGGAAGTTTCGTAGCTTGAGTGCTTGGAGATATTGAATAATTCCAGGTGCCAAATAAAAAAAAATCTGATATCGTCTAGTTATTAACATAGCTATGGAAAATTGCCGCTTGAAATAGATGATCAAAATGAATACTTCCGATTTACCCATGATTCCAATGATTATTTTCCATAGCCATAACAAACTGTTAAATCACCAGAGAGTAATTCCTGATTGATCACCGGCAGGTTGGACCATCCTTGTCCAGTGATACCTGGCTCAATGTTTCCACACGTCTGTAATCGCTTCTTCAAAAGTATAGATGTAGTGTAGGAAGGAATGGATATTCTGGGTTAGTTTATGTTAGTTTACTCTTGTTCAAACTATTTCCCTTGTATATTGTTTTCTTCTCAAAAGACTCAAACGAACTACCCAATCAATGTCAGCCAAGTAGTCAACTGAGCAGTGTTCAAAACCCCTGCTGGTGAATGATTATAGGCCAATATAATTGGGGATTATAATAATCCAATAGGGGAATCCCTTTCTTAACCAAGCAGTATAATGGAATGACGGAATGACATTTAACGCCTGCCTACTCCCGTCCTCCAAAGCATCGGGACGGAAGAGTCAGTGTCTACAAACCTGCGCGGCTGGGGTGGGATTCATATGGGGATGGGTCAAGAGTCAAAACCTATGAATTTACCATATTTCGGGGAATAAACGTCCAATAACCAGCTATTATAGGGTACCTAATGTACCGGGGTTTTGACCCATAGCCATATATTCTTTATGTTTATACTCTACAACACAGAAACAACTTTCCAACAGTTCATTTGGTGGTGGGTTGCTAATCAAACATGGTTTTTGAACGCAAGTAATTATGTTTGATAGGATTTCAATAGCATCCAGCCAACGAAAAAAAGGTCCTTTCAAGAACAAGAGATGAATATTGATCTGGGTCAACATGTGTTTCCGCTCATTTTTAGGATCGCGAACATCCCATTTCTGGGTACCCAATTACTTAAGGTATACTCATACTGCCATGTCCATACCTATGATGCTGAACACTGTTGGCTGTTGACAAACCGCACAGACTCCTACATGTTTCCTTGGTGGCTAAGACACCTGTATATGCTGTATTAATGGCTAACCTTACATAAAATAGGGGTATATACCCCCAGTCATCATCCATTTATAGATGGGATTTTCCATGAAATAAACCATCCAGCGATATATTGGGGTAACCGGGTAACCCCATTTTCAACCTACCCCCAACACATTCAGCCACGGTTGCTGATGGGATCCCAGCCCACCTGTGTCAAAGATGCAGGGAAGACGAAGGCCTCAACATGGGGAGACAAGCAATCACCGGGATCAACAAGAAACACATGATAAAACATGCAATATCTAAATGTCAAACATGCATTTGTGTGTCTGTGTCTGTGTGTCCGAAGATATTTCTTTGGATACATGCAAACAATCAAACACACACGCTCTCTAAATATGCGCACATGTGAGAGAGAGTGGGACATGGGTGCAAAGTTGTGTCATTCCTGAAATTGCAAACATTAGATCCATTGGTACATTAGAATTAGAATACATTAGATCCATTATGGTATAGGTAGTGTGCAGCAAATCTCCACAAACTACCTGTCCTAAACCTAAGGCCCATCTCCCCGAAAGGTCAACATGGCGGGTTTCCACAATGGCCACGGCCACATGGGACCAGTTGTTGCTCCTGTTGCTTTTGCAAGCCACATTGCATTTGACTAGCTATCTATCTGTATTTATCTATGTCTATGTCTATATCTATCTATAATTCTATATCCATCTGCATCTAGTTGTCGATTTATCTATCTAATGATACCAGTGCCATAAGAGTTGCTTTTCTTGATTTGCATAGCCAATATTGGCATTTTGTACCTAGAAAGGAAGGGGTAACTCTTTCCCTGACTAACTGTTTCTTTGCTAACTCTTTCTTTGACTACCTCATATATCCTGACTAACTCTTTCTTTGACTAACTCTTTCCCTCACTAACTCTTTCTTTGACTGACTCTTTCCCTCACTAACTGTTTCTTTGACTAACTCTTTCCCTGACGAACTCTTTCTTTGCTAACTCTTTCTTTGACTAACTCTTTCCCTGACTAACTCTTTCTTTGACTAACTCTTTCCCTGACGAACTCTTTCTTTGCTAACTCTTTCTTTGACTAACTCTTTCCCTCACTAATTCTTTCTTTGACTAACTCTTTCCCTGACTAACTGTTTCTTTGCTAACTCTTTCTTTGACTAACTCTTTCCCTCACTAACTCTTTCTTTGACTACTCTTTCCCTGACTAACTGTTTCTTTGACTAACTCTTTCTTTGACTAACTCTTTCCCTGACGAACTCTTTCTTTGCTAACTCTTTCTTTGACTAACTCTTTCCCTCACTAAATCTTTCTTTGACTAACTCTTTCCCTGACTAACTGTTTCTTTGCTAACTCTTTCTTTGACTAACTCTTTCCCTCACTAACTGTTTCTTTGACTAACTCTTTCTTTGACTAACTCTTTCCCTGACGAACTCTTTCTTTGCTAACTCTTTCTGTGACTAACTCTTTCCCTCACTAACTCTTTCTTTGACTAACTCTTTCCCTGACTAACTCTTTCTTTGACTAACTCTTTCCCTCACTAACTCTTTCTTTGACTAACTCTTTCCCTCACTAACTCTTTCTTTGACTAACTCTTTCCCTCACTAACTCTTTCTTTGACTAACTCTTTCCCTCACTAACTCTTTCTTTGACTAACTCTTTCCCTGACTAACTCTTTCCCTCACTAACTCTTTCCCTCACTAACTCTTTCTTTGACTAACTCTTTCCCTGACTAACTGTTTCCCTCACTAACTCTTTCTTTGACTAACTCTTTCTTTGACTAACTCTTTCTTTGACTAACTCTTTCCCTGACTAAACTCTTTCTTTGACTAACTCTTTCCCTGACGAACTCTTTCTTTGCTTTGACTAACTCTTTCTTTGACTAACTCTTTCCCTGACGAACTCTTTCTTTGCTAACTCTTTCTTTGACTAACTCTTTCCCTCACTAACTCTTTCTTTGACTGACTCTTTCCCTCACTAACTCTTTCTTTGACTAACTCTTTCCCTCACTGACTCTTTCTTTGACTAACTCTTTTGACTAACTCTTTCTTTGACTAACTCTCCCTGACTAACTGTTTCTTTGCTAACTCTTTCTTTGACTAACTCTTTCCCTGACTAACTCTTTCTTTGCTAACTCTTTCTTTGACTAACTCTTTCCCTCACTAACTCTTTCTTTGACTAACTCTTTCCCTGACATTCTAAAAGTCCGTAACACGGAAGTTTCTCCCCCTAAACTTCCTTTGATGACCTGTATGTGTATTTTTTCCGGATTCTAGCAACATGTGTGGGAACTATTTGAATTTGCTGCCCAATATCTGCAAACCTTTTGGGATTGATTCAGGTGAGTTATTTAAACATAGCTAAACCATCAACCATTTTACATAGCCAAGCCATGCTAAACCATCAACCATTTTTGTGGCTAAAACCTCATTCTTGTTGGTGATTACATCATATTACATCCCCACGTTTGTTAGCCCGATCCCAATTACTATGTTCATTTTAAGAGTCACCAATGCCAGCCACCAGCTTCTTTCAGTGCAGGATTTGGCCGTGCCGAGTGTGCCGAGGGACGTGTTCCGACGCGGTGGAAAAGCTGGCCATGTGCCCAGACATGCTCACGGCCTCAAGGGCGACGAAAGACGACGAAAAGCGACGAGGTTGGTTGGGAGCATAATATAAAGTGCCCAGCTGAATTTTTTTGGATGGTTTTTGAAGCCAACCAAGGTGAGGCGATATCATGGGGATTTTAAAGGGATATCATGGGATATATATATACGTATATATATATATATATACGTGTATATATATACACATATGTGTATATATATATGCAATTACAGTATATGAACATACATACTGATTATACTGTATATATATATATAACTGATACAACTATCAGAAGGAATTACCTATAGACATTGACTTAATCACATCCAACGTTGGGGATATCATAGGGATATGATGGGACATACTGAATTACATACAGCTAACCCACCCGAATCATTACTGTTCTTGTTCGGGGTGGGATGAATCTTGACTCGTTACGACTTTTGTAGGGGGGTTCCAATTGCCACGGTTGACTATGTTGATTGCCGCAGGGCGATGAATGGGATCACCAAAAATTACAGATCTGACTGCAGCATCTGGAAGAATTGTTTGCCAGCCACTTGCTAGGATGCAAAGGACAAAACCTGGGATTTGTGTTGCATTTTTTCATTTGTGTATGCACCCACGATTCCAGGTGATTGTCAACAAACCATAGATATGTTCATATGATTGGATTTGAGAAAAACAAGTGTCATGGAGTGTATACAAAATATCCATCGGATGATGTACAAAAGCCAACAATTGTGGACCTTCACAATGCCATCTGATAATCAAAAATGGACACCAACATGACCCGTGTGACCCATGTGATGATGATTTGCATACTCAACATGGTGATTCCTCATTGGAAGTATTACCGGAGGGCAGGTTGGTGTTCTTGGTTCAAACCACCTGTTCCTTAGACCATTTTTTTTTTCGCTGCTAAAACCCACACTCCTGTAGTGAAACCAATATTTCTTCTTACGTCGACCATGTTTAATGGGTGGGGATATACATTACGAGATGGTTCACCTACCCTCTGGTTATTTAACATAGCTATGGCAGCTATGGCCCATAGAAACAGATGATTTTCCCAGCTAGAAACCTCCATTTATCCATGGGATTTTCCGAGAATCTTCTTCCCGCAACCCAAAAAAATCCATCCCCACCTGTCCGAATCGCGCGCCCGCCGAGACCTGCGAGCCGCGGAGTTCCATCCATTTTTTGCGTCTGGATGGGTTGATGGTTCAAAAATCCAAACCGGAAACATAAAAAAAGTACTTTGAGAAAAATGGGCTTTCCTGCCGATGTTTGCCTTCATGATATTATGCTATTTGGTTTAAACTGTTTAAACCAAAACACACAAGCTTCAAATGGCTCCTGAGCTGTGACTCAGACTCATACCAAAATGGTTCCTTGTCCTTGGGTGTACCTTCACCGCACGGCTGCACATGTCGTGCGTCCATAGGGAATATCACCCAACCTTATGTAACTTATGTAACTGCAACTGTACCATTGTACCATGGTCACAGGAAATGTACATCAAGCTTTTGGCTACCCCATATGAAATGGTTTACATTCACCACACTCACCAGGCTCACGAAGTCGCACCTTGCTCGGCGAAAGTTTGGATTGCTGCACCCACTTCTGACCTCGCGAGTCACTCACCGGAAGGGGGAAGTCGAGGCCACTCGGCAAACGATTGGATTTATGGTACAAAATATCAACAAATAGATTATAAATGTACAATAAACGATATTGTAACCAGGTGAGGCAATCTTTTAACTATATGGTATATATGAGTCAAACTCCTGGTACCCTGGTGAACAAACAAAGCTAATATGGTCATCCGCTTCCATGTCAGGTTTTGGTCTCTCACCATGGAAGAAGTCCATGTGAAATATGAGCCTGGAGACAACAAATTGACAGCAAAGATTTGACGATGTTCCTCTGGGAAGTCTGCAATTCTGACTTCCACGTTAATTGAGCATCTCGCTTGTATGGATACTGTAACCAAAACATCTTTGAAGCCAAACGATGATGGCACAACCACCTCTCAACGTGGCACTCCCACAGTTCTGCAAGACTAGTATAAAGTATAGTCTGTCAGTTTGTGTAATCATCCCAGTAATGTAATTGTCATATCTGGTTTGATTTTGATTCCACTCTATTCCCATTCTATCTCCAGTATATCCGCAATGTGGTAAACCCCCCCACAAAGCCTCCCCAAAGGGCCTGGTTTCATACTGTAAATATACCCCTTGGATGATTGAAACTGCCCAAGGTCAGGACCTCCGGGCTTTCCTAGTCTTCATCTTTGAGGACAGCCTTTATATCCCCATTCAACTACTATATTCGTTGCTTCAATCCCCATGATTTGCATGGTGAAACCACCATTCTTCACAAAATTCATTGCTTCAATCCCCATTCTTGATGGATAAACCATGATAAACTACCATGTTTCACCATGTTTGATGGATAACTCCTCATCTTTATCGGATAACTCACCATTTTATCTTGGTTTCATCCCCCCTCTTGAAAGGATAACCCCATGAACCCCTCGCCGTCTGTCCACGCCCACCTTGGCGCACGAAGATGTAGCCTGAGCCGCTCTTGTCCACGCCGCTGTGCTCGTCCCCCGCCGCACCGATGGCGGCCTCAGGCTCTGGAGATGTCAAGAAAGGATATACCACCACACCCCCCCAAAGAAAACGGTAGAAGTTGGGAAAAAAAAACACTATACTAAAGCTGAACAAAATGTAAATAGTACCTCATTGTTTTTGAGTTGCTTCTGGTGGTTATTGTAAGCTAGATATGGATGACGTTGGGTTTATCAAAAGAAATGTGGGTTTTAAGAAAGAACATGACAATACGAACCATGATGCCAATGTAACATGCATGTCATGCATGTCATACATGTGTGTACATATATAACCGGATAGTATCAAGCAATATAGAACAGACATGAACAGACCTTGTAAGATGAGTGTGTTTTTTATTTTTGAACTTTTCCATGGGAGTTTGGGTTAATCTATTATGTCCATCTATTATTTTCAGGAGAACACAAACAAACTTGTGACTGGGGTGATGCTCCATGCGTAATCCAATGCATCATCATTAACTATAAGCAGGTCCACTCAAAACTGCATGTTCTCAACATTTAGTCTCTTCAAACCACATTGTGAAAAGGATTAAACCCAGCCCCTGAAGAATCTGTGGTCTTTATGCAGGTGAATGATCCTAAGGTGGACCTGGAAACTTTTGGGATCGAAGAACTTAACAATGTGAAGCTTAGCATGCTAAGTAAATGACAGCCGGACGGAATCCACAAGTTCCTAGGGTGTGTTTTGGGAGGTTTTGGGGCACAGCAACGTTTTCCAGCGATTTGGATGAACTTGATAGGAAAAAAGAACATGGGTCATGCGAGGGTCGAAAAGCATGTTCTTCTCGTTCATTTAAACGCTCTGTGATCCATGATTTGTATTGATGTCTGGTCTCCACTTGCTGCCCTACCACTTTCCATCAAGTTGGTTTGCATCCACGGATGATAAAAATCCCATAAAAATCCCTTTCTGAAAGTGGATTCTTCCAGTACTGTTCCATTCTAATGTGGATAAGACAATAATAAACCATCCCCCAAATAGGTGGTATAGATCATTCCCAAATGGATGGTTTCTTATTGTGTTGCCCACATTATTCCCATTGAAGCACCTTTTCTAGTCATGGTCGATGACATTCCGGCGACACATTGGGCGTCCGGCGATTCCCGAGGACATCGAGACGCTGCGGCCAAAGCCGTCGTTGGCATCGCCGTCCTGGACTTCTGTGGTGAAATTGGTCGATTCACTTCCTGTTGTTCCAAAGAAAGCTACTTATAGATAAATATATATATATATATATATTATATACATATATGTATCATATGCACAAAACAATGCAAATATCTGTATGTATATATATATATATATTATGAATATATTGTGTACATGTGGACAAATCGACAAATCGTCTACATTGCAGAGGTATAGCCAGGACTCTAACCCACATGTTTTCAGGTGTTTTCTGGTTGAGCCTCAATTTCTAAAGGCAAAGATCCATTCATTCCACTTAGAAAACATATCTGAACCATAAACAAACAAAACTCGGGAGATCATCATGGTTTGGATATGTTTTAATATGTGTTAATTTGTTTTGTGTTAATATGTATTAACATGTGTTATTATGTTTTAAGATGTTTAATATGTTTCAATAGTTTTAATATGGTTTTAATTTTAATATGATTTACTACGCCGACCAAAGCCTGCCACGTACAACCCATGACGCAAAAGCCCTCAAAGCCTGTGACTTGCTTGGCCAAATGTTGGCCAATCACACTGCCCTAGGTTGTTATAGCTAAGTTGGCTTTGTTCAGTAAGCTTTCACTAGGCTTTCTGGTAAATCAAACTAGCTAATGAGAATTATAAACCAAGAAACCTAATTGGGTTGATTCAAGTATATAATAAAACCGGAGATGCCAGACATGGATAAGATCTTCAGTTTAACCAAACTCAACTGAGGATTGGACTATTAGAGGATCAACATTGGGAGTTGAACCAAACAGCAAAAATGGAAGTTTCACCAACCAAACAATGGAGATCTAGATTATCTATTAACCAACGGCAACAAATGGAAAATCGGAGAGGGAATGTATGATGCGACAATGGTGGCTAATTGTCCGCTCAATCTTCACCTACTAACACAGCCATTGACAATCTATGGTGGAATCTCAAGGCTGGAACTCAAAAAAAAAGAACTTGGACAATGAGTTTCCAAACATTGCGTTTCATGAACATGCCAACAAAACACCAGAAACCTAAACAAACGGATCACAATCTAACTTTCAGCTTCGTCGGTAAAGCTGGTATTTGTGGGCGAGATTTTGCCGAACATGTCCATCAGCCGTATCTGCATACTCCTCTTGCAATCTGACACACCAATGAAAAAAATAAAACATCTACATGTAATTATAGATGACTAAATGTTTCTCCCAGTAAAGACTACAGAAACAATACATCATCAAACAAAACTCACACGAAATATACAAAAAGAAATCAAAAAAAAACTGAACAAAAGAAGATTGAACCTATCAACCATCCATTCCTCGTTTCTCAGATTACCCTGCAGTAAATTGAACATTGATATGGACATCCCACCGTTTGCAGATAGTTCCTTGGAAAGCCGCTTTCCACATCGTTGATTCGCTCACCGGAGAGGCACTCAAAATATAGACGTATAAATCCGCCCACACCGCTTTGGCGGTGAAGGCGTGCTTATTGGGGGGCAAAACAGCAACACTAAATGCTCAATGACATTTGTTAATATAGCAGCAGTCGCTATATCAGCTTTAGCTGGGGGGGGGGGCCCAAAAACGGTTTCGCACCGAGACCAGAATACGGTGGTGTTTTCGACATTTTTCGAGGATTTTTGGGTGTCTGAGCGCAAGAGGGTATTGAAATGGAATTTTGGGTCATTTTGGTAGCTTTCCGGCAATGGAAAAACGGCCAAAAATGAAAAAAACATTGTACATAGCAAGATTTTGCAGGGTTTTTGGATGCCAGAGCATTGAAAACACTGCAAAAACAAGTGTTTTGGACTGACGTTATAGCAAAAAACGTGTAAATTACCGTATGCTTGACTGGAAACATTACAAAAACACTGTCAAAAGCAATGTTTTGGAAGGATTTACTGCCTTTATGGCAAAAAACGTGTAAATTACCGTCTGTTTGACTGGAAACATTGGAAAAACACTGTCAAAAACAATGTTTTGGAAGGATTTGTTATATATATGTTGGAGTTGGCTACCGGCATTGGAACATGGAAAAATTGAAGAAAACACTGTAAATAGCGGTATTTTCAACGGTTGGGGAGATAAGGGAATTGGAAGCATTGTCGAACATGATGTTTTCGACCGGTTTTATGGCGACAAAAGTGTAAAGTACCGTGCTTTGAAGGAAACCATTGCAAAAACATGGAAACACATTCAAAGAACACGGGATTTGGGGGACTATCTAGGCGTCGTTGTCTAGCTATTTGAAATTCCGCAGCTTGGAGAGCCTCCAAGGGAGGGAAAAGTGAAAATTCCATAGCTTGGGAAGCTGTCACGGCGGGGAAAAGTGAAAATTCCCTAGCTTGGGAAGCCCCCACGGGGGGGAAAAGTGAAAATTCCCTAGCTTGGGGAGCCCCCACGGGGGGGAAAAGTGAAAATTCCCTAGCTTGGGGAGCCCCCACGGGGGGGGAAAAGTGAAAATTCCCTAGCTTGGGGAGCCCCCACGGGGGGGAAAAGTGAAAATTCCCTAGCTTGGGGAGCCCCCACGGGGGGGAAAAGTGAAAATTCCCTAGCTTGGGGAGCCCCCACGGGGGGGGAAGTGAAAAGTCTTAGCTTGGGGAGCCCCCACGGGGGAAAACCACCCTTAGCCCCTCTCACGGACCGAAATAAACCTGCGGTGTGGGCGGCCACCCCACGCGAAGCGGGGTGAATACCTATATGATGTTTGATTCTATTTTCTCCCAAGAATTAAGGTTTCAAAGTTTCAAATATGTACAGTATATATAATAATAATATATATATAATATGGTAATATATATATATATACAATATGCATATACATATATCCCCATATATATATATATATATGTATATATACATATATATATGTATATATATATATCCCCATAAAGCATGCAGTAATATCCCATCATGAATCCCAAGAAACCAGTGGTCATCTACCGGGGAACTCAAAGGAACAGCAAGGCGCCTCGGCCAAGAGTTCGGCAACTTCCACCCAATGCCTCAATGCGCGACGAAAAATGTTCGAGTAGGGTAGCACACCAAAATAATCTGGAAGAGTTTGGCATAATTACATCAAATCACAAGAAAAACATCATGAATCATGATATATCATGTGTTTTTCATTGTTTCACCGGGGAAAATCTTTGGGACTGAATGAACATGAATCCATATATATATAATCATACCCAACATATGCCTTTACCCAAATGAGAGGCTAGTCAAATGTGTGAACTCTTGCATAAATTCGAGACCCAAAAAGAGATGGCATATGGCCGAATCGCAGCTAATTGAGCATCTTAAAAGCATCACCACAAACAATCTGACTGTCGATACTTACTTTGTAGATCTTTGTAGGATACAGTAAATCAATTTGGCAGGAGAATGCATTTTTCATGTATGATAAACTGAAACTAATCCAACCTATCATTCACCGAGCTTTACCCACTACTAACAATCGAAGGGAGTGACCTCTCCACATCATCGACGAGGTTCCCTCCTTTTTGCTTGAAAATGTAGGCGGCACCATCACCCCTGGGCGTCGGGAGAGGATGCCCAACCTGTACACCATTTGCCGAACGAACAACTAAACAACTGAACACCAACCGTAAGAACAACAGGTAACAACAACAAAAAAAACAAGTCCCCGCAGGAACAATAAGAAGGAGAAGCAACCAATCAAGATATATCTTGCCTTCAGCAAGCCTGTGAGGAGCACAATGTCTTTCAGATTCTCACTTACAGTACAGAACATTTTCTTGACATAGATGTATTCCGATGAATTTATATTCCAACTGACTCTGGCTTAATGAGGTTATTATTAGATCCTCGCTTGAAAAAAATGATGTTTCTTTTTTCTCAGCGATATGCCAAACATTGAATCCCATGTTGGCGTGTCATTCTGATTTCACCAAGGAAGTGTGATGACAACCACCAACTCGTTCAAAAAAGCATTGGTAATATGGAGCTATCCTAAAATAGGTGGTATCCCAAATCATCAAAACCATTGGACCATGACTTCGTCTTGAAACCCATTGTGACTTGGGACCCCTCGGCCTTCAGAAACCCCATAGTTCACATCTCGTGTCTAGGTCCGGACTGCAACGATCTGGCGATTTCTTGAGCCATTTTGGGAATCAATCCCCCTCCTATGACCATAATATGTATTATACAACCGTCAAGGGGCTTCGCCTGGGTTTGGTCTCCGAAACAAAAACCCTCCAAACTTCCTAAAACCATGATATATATGTATATAATATAACATCTATACATTAATATATAATTATATATGTATATATGTATACATATGTAGATATGCATACATAACCATAATATAACAATCATCCCCCAAACGTCCTTTCAGGAAACACCAAGGCACTTCCACTTGTTGGTGTGTCCAAAGGCACCAATGATCGCCATATCTCCGGACCTCTCCAGGAACATGATCTACATTCATGCTGGGTGATTAATTTTCCACATCGAAAACTGTCAGTGTAAAAAGGAGGGGACGGGGACAGCGGGTAACGGGTATCCTTCCTGAAGTTGCTAGGACATGTTCCAGAGGTCATCAAGCCCATGCTGGAATGAAAAACCAGAATGGGTAAATTTAAGATTCTATGAACATGGATTGATGACCATGTTGATATGGGTTAGTGGAAATCCTCCCATTCCAATGGATTCGAAAATCATGTTCCCCATTCAATAACTAGATATGCGGAGGTTTAATACCTCATTTCCAAGGATTATATGATCCCATCTGATAAAACACAGAATGGGATAACTTAGATGAAACATCCCCGAAAGTGTTTGGTCACGCACTTGCGGAGCAAGATGCAGTGAATTATTTGAACTAGTGAACTAAAAAAGATTGAATCACCAAAACGTGAGATTGATCGACAATAGAGGTTGGGAATCACATTCATGTAGTATATAGATGTATATAGTATTACAGAGGAAGTTCCGGATTGCTGGGTTCTCCGGCTACTGTACCAGCTGAACTGTGACCATAGTTGCTAACTATATCTAGCTCTCAAACCAGTTACGATCAATGAAACAGCCCCAGGATAAGGGAACCAGTGCATGACCGGTCTTAGATACTCTGCAAACAAGCGATTTCTTGTTGGTGCGTTTATTGTCCCAATTGCAAGAAACCTACCTTTAAAAGATAGGCTGACCCAGAACAGAACTACGAGGGTTCACAATTCAAGTTTGGGCCGCCAAGGCCGTTTGCAGATGAGTCGAATTTGAGGGATATCTTGGACTGACAACTTAAGTTTTCATATGGGTACCGGGTTCAGACCCAGGTGCCCTGGTCAACACCAAAACAGGCAAATGAAGGTTCAACCCGCAAAAAACATGCGATGAAACACTTGACCCTTTTTGATCTATCCCCATCTGTGCGATGGTCAAAACATGGTATATTGGCTATGGTTATCCATCCAATAATGGGAATCCTGATTCTATTCTATCTATGTCCAGGACGTGAATTGCAATCGTTTTTTTTGCTTGCCAATGAAAACAATCTGTGTTTTTAGGCCCAGAAAGCCACAACATGTTGTTAAGCTGCTGAGTATTAGACCGGTCATGCCTGTTGAACCAGCAAAACATTTTAGACCCAAAAACGGAGCCACCAAGCCTGTTCCCTTGGGCCCGGACATGCCAACACTACAGCCGAAACGGTCGCTGGCTCTAGTTTCCTGGGCAGCCGATGGTCAGTTCACTCAGCCAATCCAGGCTTGCGAAACAAAACATACCCTCTGGTTATTTAACATAGCCATGGAAAATGGCCCATTTATAGATGATTTTCCCATTAAAACCTCCATTTATAAGGGATTTTCCATGGCTATGTTAAATAACCAGATGGTATTTGTTTTCTGTTTCCGAACCACAAAACCAGGAACCTCTGCTTCCGAAACCATAGAAGTTGTAAGTTGGGATGTTTTCAGCCATCAGTTGCTGGCCATCCCAGGGGTCCGTCCGCCCAAGCCTTGGCCACCAACTTGGAAGGCTTTGACCTAGCCCGGCTGATCATTTAATGGATGGTTCACCAACCTTTGAGAGTATATATATTTATTATTATATTATACAATGTTATATTATATAGTATATTATATTATTTTATATTATATTATTTTATATTATATATTATATATTATATATTATATGTTATATATTATATATTATATTATTATATATTATATATACAATATTATATTATATATATAATATATATTATATTATTTTATATTATATATATTACATATTATATTATTATATATTATATATTATATATTATATGTTATATATTATATATTATATTATTATATATTATATATACAATATTATATTATATATAATATATATTATATTATTTTATATTATATATATTATATATTATATTATTATATATTATATATTAAATATTATATATTATATATTAAATATTATATATTATATATTATATATTATATGTTATATATTAAATATTATATATTATATATTATATATTATATGTTATATATTATATATAATATATATTATATTATTTTATATTATATATATTACATATTATATTATTATATATTATATATTATATATTATATGTTATATATTATATATTATATTATTATATATTATATTATTTTATATCATATATTTTATATAATATATAATATATTATATATTATATATTATATATAACATATGATATATATATTATATAATATATGATATATATATATATTATATTTATTATTATAATATATAATGCTATATTATATAGTATATTATATAATATATTATATATTATATATTATATATTATATATTATATATTATATATTAAATATTATATATTATACATTATATGTTATATATTATATTATAATATTTTAATATTATATTAATTCATATTATACTTTATATTATATTAATCTACATTATATTAATTCATATTATACTTTGTAATATATCAATTTATGTTATATTATATACTGTATTATACAATATCAAATTATATTTTACATGTATACATCACATACTTTAATATATATATATACATATTATATTTAGATTATATATCATATATTATATATCATATATTATATATCATATATTATATATCATATATTATATATAATATTAATATATTTATATATTTTATACAATATATATATATATATATTATATTATAATATGTATATATTGTATATTATATATATATATTGTATAATATATATATGACTATATATATATATGTATATATATATATGATTATATATATATGGATACATGTGTAATATATATATATATCTGGATACATGCAATATATATTATATACAGTTGCATGTATGATGTGGATTGGCATATGTATGTACGATTATCTATATTATATATGCATATAAATTGAGGAACAAACTCGGTTGAGCTGGCATCGTCGCATCCAACGTGGCCATCCCACATGATTTGTAGACTTCTCTTTGTATCAGTAGAACCTGAGGCATTCTGTTGCCGAAAACTAAATAACTTAGGAAACAGCAGCAGTTCGAGGGTTGAGCCAATCTACCTGTACCAATTATATGTTCCAATTTTTGACCCCAGAATGATGGTTCATCCCATTTTATCCCAAAAATGATCATTTAGGAGCCCCAATTGGGGGGAGTGAACATGAACGAACATCCCCGTAGTAATCCCAGCCATTTTTGGTGTTCACCAGAGTACCACCCCCTTGACCCATAGCAATTCCAGTATGTCTAGTATTCAAACAATCATGCAAGATCATTTTTAAGGTGGTTGTCCCTTCCAGTTCCAAGTTGGTTTATCACATTTTGTAACCCTCACTAAGTCTAGATATGATTCAGAATTCAACGCCCCAACCATTGCAGTTCTCACCAACTTCGCCATCCTTTAGCATGGCCCCATGGCCCCCCATGGCCCCCCATGGCTGCGCTGTGCCCCCGTGCCAGGCGCTGCCGTTCCAGGTGTAGAGGATCACCGAACCGCTACCAGGACCACGGACATTGTCCTGGAGCCGATCTCGGGGGATCTGATCTAAGGCCCAGAGATCATTCTGAAGGGAATCCAGATAGGTTTAAATATGTTGAACTCCTTCTCAACATTGACGGAATTTGATGTTGATGAAATGAAAAAACGGACCTTTGCTAAATCACCAAACTCCTCCTGAGGTTTCGTTTTTGAACCCAAGACATGCGCCCAAATCATCAAATCATCGTCAAACAAATGTGAGCAAATCAATGAGCATCGAGATCCATTGCAACTGGAGACTAACCGTAACTAACCCGAACAAATAATAGGGATGCAATCAATGAACCATGACATTTTCGAACCATTTTGACTATTTCTTATATCTCAAAACAACCATCAACATTTTCCACCAACCATTTGTTTTTGAACCATAGCTCCAATGACACCAACTTCAGTGAAAACCTCTCGGCCTCAGTTGGAGGTGCATGTCCCCCAGATATGGTGTATGTATATATATATATACCATCTGGTTATTTAACGTAGCGAACTGGAGAATCACCATTTTAGTAGGTGATTTAAATCATTCAAAAACATCTATTTCTATGGGCCATCTATACCATGGCTATGTTAAATAACCAGAGGGTATATATATATATATGCGTTCCCATCACCAAAGATCGTTCATGAGCAAAATTTGATGGGCATATTCCTTCATTTACCCAAGCAAAATCTGTCGAAAGCGAACCGAAATACAACAAATCCAGCAGCCAGAGATGTCCCTATATACCCGCAGAAATCATTCTGAACTCCCTATGTTTTATTTTGAAACTTTTATGATTTGCCATATCAATCCATATCATACCTATATTGTAATATATATCATATTACAGTAAAACATAATCAATGATATATTATCCTGAATCAAACTACTTCAGTATTTTTTTACATATTTTTTTATATCCTTTTTTGCATCACATATTGTCTTCGTGATTCATGACCCCGTTGTCTCCCAAGACGTCTCTCAGCAACGCCTCTTGCGCCCCGATCAGGATGGTGTCGTTGGTCTGACTGAGACTGGACCCGAAGTTGGCGTTCGAAACCTGAGCATTTCACCACACGAAACCGGGTGCAGTTATCAGTTGAGGTTGTTAATACAAGAAATTAGGATATAACGTGATATAACCCCTGTTTAAACAAAAACTAGTCATATGAGAACCCTAGACCAATCTTCCGCCATTTTTCTGGTGGTTCAATGAATCAGCCATGTTCGGCCAACTGATTTCGAGTGGATAGATGTAAACCAAGCGCCTCTGGAGCCAGTAGTCGATGTTTCAAGACCTCAACTGCGAGGTCTCGTTGATGGCTTTATTGCTGGTCATGGTACCCTGGGACTCTGCACAATCGCTGGTATGTAGATGTGTTCACCCTCCCCCAAAATATGTGTAGGTTTTGGTTCATTCCGGTTGAACAAGCAAAACTGGGGAATAACATGGATGAAAAAAAAGGGTGGCTTCTGATCCTGTTCATCTCCGTGATATTAAGCACAATACGAGACTCCAAAGTGAAGAGATGTGAAGAGATCCGAGACTGAACCAGGGGTTCCAAAGGGCATATATATATATATTTGAGCTTAGGGGGTTGGGATTCTATGGTTTTCATTATGCAACCAAATAAGGGAAAGTCTGAAGAAGACTCCGGGAAACAAAATAAACAATGCAAGTGGCTTAAACATGCTTAAAACCCTTATGATCATGGCAGCTAATTTATGGGATACATAATATAATATACATATATAATCATATATATATATATTATCTCTTTGATGATCGGACTAATCCAGACCTTGGGACGCTGCAATGCCCGACGTGCCCGGATCAATATGATCAATGGGGAACTACACTGCCTGAAGGAGGGATTTAGGAACCAAACATTCAGGGTTCAAGAAACAAAAACAGGTGACTTCATCAAGAAACAAATGAGCCAACTAGCAGTTGTCAGTAGCAATTCATGGGTTGTTGACAACCTGCGTAAGAGACTTTATAAACGGCTTATGTAACAGCATCAATAAATAAACCGGAGGGTATTAAGAGCGGTGTGACTGCACCAGAGTTTGGCAGCTTCTCCATGGTAGATCTGATGTCAGCATCAATGGTGGGTTGTGTTTCTAATATACTTGGTGGTTCACCCCAGCAATCGTGAATGGATTCGTTCACCCCAGTGAAATCACTGGACTAACTCTACTTGCCTGCTTTCTTTGTGCAGTTTTAATCCACTTACGAACTCGGCCGAAGCACCTAGCTACAATCGAATTGCCATCCTGTTCTACTACCTTTCGGCTTCGTCTACACTGGAACTTCAATTTAGCAGACAACCCTTGCCCTACTTCAAATCATGGGTAGATTCCATGCTCAAGGCTTCGCTACACGACACGATCTGAGATACCTGCCTGGATCAATCCGATCAACCCCCACTCTATTCATCCACATCCCTAGACCCTCAGACCCCCCCAAAAATGCTAGAAGTACTACCATTAGAGGAGTCAAACAGCCAGAAATTTCGACAAACGGAGGGTCTAGGTCTAAGTAGATTTCCACCCAAAATTCGCCCATGAGCGTTGCATGCACCGAGGCACCCATCCGCGCTTCTCGTGGCGGTGGAAGATGTACAGCGCCGCTGAGACGTTCTTCTCTGCGTTGCCGGCAGCGACCACCACTGCGCGATCTGCCATGATGCTGACCCTGGCACCAAGGCGGGTGTAAGAAGTGGGAGCCAAAGTTATATCATAATGAATGTGCATGGTATATAAATGTTGTATGTAATTGTATGTGTGTATATATATACACTATAATGATATATAATGATATATATATATGACATGATGCCATGGATGTCTATGTATATTGATATACTTAATGAATCTGAGATATATCAACATGGGGATTTATAACAAATACTGTTAGATGGTTTTCATTGACAGTGGCTAGTTGCAGGATTGTCCTATATAGATCTATATAGTTGGAAGCTGAACATTTGGATCAATGAGGGTATGTCTACACCTTCTATACTATGCTAGGCAACTTATGGCATTGAAAAGTTTCAGTGCTAGTTGAAATGAGGGACAGAAGATACTGCTGCCCTTAGCTGCTGCCCTGAGAGGATCGCCTCATGGATTCCTCTGCGTTGACTGTGGATTAAGTTTAGGAAGTAAGTTGGCTGGGTTGTGGCAATACCATCTATAGATATCTATAGGATATCATGATGTTATTCCTCTGGATTGTAGCACACTTTGGTTCTTTGGGATGAGATTGATGAATACTGAACCAGCAGGGGATCAACCAGCAAGCACGTCTCTTACTGTTTTTCCTGAGTACCTTCCTTTGGTCCCTGGCTCAACTGCGCAACTTCTCAAGGCTATCGCAGCCTTGATGGTCTAAGCATGAGACCTATAGTTTTACCCGGTTTGGAGAGCCTTTTTTTTGTGGAATCGCCATGCAACATCCTGGTGCTGCGGTCACGGTGCTTCATAACTATAACACAGAAATAATAAACATACAGCAGGAATACAGTAGTTACAGTAATCATGATAACGATGCTAAACATAATATATATATATATAAAAAACTGAACACTGATTACAGTGCAACTATCATGTGGTTGGGAAACTCTATTCAGACCAAACAGCTCCGAGATTTTGTTGAAAATATGGGTACCCATAGTTCAGCTCACCTCTCCCCCCATTCACCAAGGGCAAAATCATCCAACTTCAAACCTCCATTCACCATAGAAATCATCATTTATTAGAGGATTTCTCCTCTATTTATAGATGATTTTCCCATTCAAACCCGCCATTTATGATTTGTTCATAAACACACTCCATTTTCAGATGACTTTCCCATCAACAAATATATTTATAGATTTATAGATGACTCTCCCATTCAACAAAAAGTATATATCTGGTTGGTGGTTTCAACCCCTCTGAAAAATATTAGTCAAATGGGATTATTGTTCCCAATATATGGAAAAATAAAAAATGTTCCAAACCACCAACCAGATATGTATGATAGAGGGATCTATCCAGCTTCGCAGCCGTTCCCGCAGTTCCCGCCATCACCTGGCACCGAAACGCTCAAAGTCCACTGCATCCTGGTGAGACACGCAGCTGAAACAAATGCGACTGTCATTGGGTATCATAATCCAATTTCAATCAATTTCTATTGTATAGAATACAATTTCGCAACAAAAAAGAATACTTGAAACCATCAGCTAGACACACTAGTTCTTTCCTTCTAATATTACAGCAATCAGCCCACCCATATGTGCCGAAGGATTCCTATTTCATTGGCTGCACCCTGCAGATACAGTAGATATATGTAGATATGAACAATCCACCAAGAATGTTCAAAGCTAACGATCCAATCAATTTATCCAGCTATTAATCAATCAATCAAGGCACGCGATGCTCAATACCCATTGAACCCGTTAACTTTGCGTTCTCCCTGTTCAACCCAACAGCTGTGATCAAGATCGTTAGTTTTTATGCATCTGAACAGTTCCCCACAGATTTCTAAGATATCCTTCGGTACTCAATTGAACATTGAACATTCATCATTTACTGTATATGCATTTACTGCATATCAATTTTGATTTGTAGATGATTTAACACCATCATTCACCATTTATATATATATATATATATCAATTTCTAGATGATTTTCGATGCGCCTTGGGCGTAAGCTTTGCCTCTTGCTGCCATACCTGACATGGGTCCACTTGGGCCGAGCCCCTTCCCCAAAATGGCTGGGATTTATGGATGTTCATCCCAACAAAAATCAAAATATTAAAAAAAAACAATCAAAATATAGAATATATATAGACATATATAGATATCATATATCGAACAATATTATCAAATATTATATTGGCTTGAATGGATTGAACCCATTGCAATTTAAGATCATCTAAGGCCCTCATGTTTTAATGCTGAGACCATCCTTTGAAGTGACTTCGATTTAAAGGAGATACTGGGGCCCCTGTAGATATGCGTAGCATCACATCAATGAGATCTGTCATCCCGAAAGCTACTGGCTAGTGCGGCTAGTTGATAACGGGATTGCCAGTCGGTGGATTCGTTATCCCCCATCAAACCTCTTAGTACCAGACTCAAAATCCAATTGTTACCTCTTACAAACTTCAAAGCTGGCTTGGGGAAAGCTGCATGAGTCAACTACTCAGAGGTTCACTCTTATGGTTGTACCAATTGCCTATGGGTGTAACCATAGCCGCTTGGCTAACCTCCTGGCTTTCTGGTTAGCATCAATAGAAACAACACGTAAGTTCTTGCTTCAAGCAATCCTGGGACCTCTCGGAAATCAACAAATCGATATGGCGAAAACAAGCATCTCAAATCATGTTTTCTTGGGTTTCCCATGTCTTTTCCACATCAACATGTGTGACATGTATCCAATATTCATTCATCCATTAAATAATATCCCTGTTATATCTCAGTCTATACCCATTCAACTATGATATTCCTTGGTTGAAGCACCATATTTCAACCTTGATGATGGATAACCCATAAGTAATCCTTTCATATCCATAAGATATCCATTGATATCCATTGATATCCCATAAGTTATGTATTAAGTAATCCCATGAAAGATATCCATTGATATCCCATTATCCATAAGTTAAACGGTCCATAAGTTCACCATTTTGGTCCATCTTTTTCCAGAAGTCACCACCATTCGTCCGTACGCAGATCCAAGCCGCATCGATGTCACGGCGGAAGATGTAGGCCGAGCCGCTGTCCTGAACCAAAAAAAACACCGCAAGTCCAAGGATTTCGGCCACAATTATGGAAGAGATATAGAGTATATATAAGTGTATGCATATATTTATATATATATATGATTATATATACTGTATGTATGAATATATATATATATATAAGACTTATATCGATATGGAAAGTGTATATATATATATGATCATATATGTATGTATATCCAACTAATTAATGAGGCAAACATAAATAAACCAACTGAAATCTGGGGGAGGCCACATCGTGGGATCAACTTATACTTATACTTATATACAGTAACCAAGAAACACTGGGGAATCAAGTGGAAATCATATGGAATTTTTGTACTAGTTAGGCAAATCAATATTGGATTTACAAGAGGGTGGCAAACAGTTTGCATAGGGTATTTGACCAATAACATGGGAAATATCATGGGATACAGGATATCTATAACCAACACTATGATGTGTTGGTGTGTCTGAACATGTTATATACCTTGCATTTTACATAACGGGACAATTTATATAGTTTATGATAAACTACCAGCAAACCACTGGATTCTGGACCTAGAGACAGGACTATGTGTGTCATGGTGTCTGTGTTTTTTTCTCCAGTGGGAGTTGGTGTCAATATCAAGCAAGGATTGATAGCACCCTGTGAGTTGAATATTTTTAAGCAACCACGGCTAATTATAATTTCTGGGGTCCTCATGTGCGTTTCATTCATGCGGCGCTACTGTGACCTGGAGACGTGCAGACAAAAAAGAAGTATAGAATGGATCCATCTGCCACAGTGACGTTCCCCCCAGAGAAACCCCATGTTTTCTCCCATCAGAACAAGGTGCCGTTGGTCTTCAAACCTTTGGGTCTTTGATGCCACCAAGATCGGCAAATCTTTATCATATCCATTGCGAGAAACGTCAAGGAGTATACGAGTTTGGAGGATGTCGGACAGCATCTTTTTATGTTGTCCACCCGCCGACTGACAGTAGAAATTGAAGGTATATAGATACAAATAGCGTGTGTTTTAAAATTGTTTTTGCCAACAAACCAATCGCCTGAGAAATTCATCCAAATTAAAAGCTCCTTTTTCCGTTCTTTTCCGCTTCACCATCTCCATAACATTCTGAGAGAAGCCACTGATCCTATTGGGAGATGAATGGTAGCCAGGAGGAAAAGAAGCCGATTCGTAGGCTCCCCTGCCCCAACGAAGGTAACCGACCTACCCAAAACAAGTTCTTTTGATTTTAATGTGAGTGTGTGTTCAATAATTCACCATTCACTATGTACTTGAATGTAATTATGACATTTATCATTTATCAGAATTTATCATGTAATTATGACATTTCTCATTTATCAATACTAATGAATGCTCATGATGTCTTTGATAGATATGACTTGGATTTTTCTCACCTTTCGGAGGTGCCCCGCAGGAACCGCACCTTCTTGCCGTTGAGACTATCACGATCAGCACCCACCAGGATGGTATCCCCAAAGATACTCACCTTAGATTTCCCAGGTGAGGAGCCAGCCATAGGATCCACGGAATCCCTAAATTTACCATAGGTGATATAAACATATATAAACCATCAATGCATATAGATGGTTTATAATATATATACATAATTATATATATATGATTATATATGTATTGCTATTACATGTTTTGTTTACTAACATTAATGGGAGACGCCACTCCAACAGATGACCTTATAATTGAGGTGCTATCAATCACCAGCAAGCACATTTATGAGGGCTGATTAAGCATCTATTATTGGGGGGCGTCATGGCAATGGGGAGGCATCACTATTTCCGAGTGATGTTTCACACTAAGTTGTGAAACGTAAGCCAAAATCCTGTTTTCTTTCATGCAATGACTTTGTGTTGTCCCATTCCTATATTCAAGCACCTCTCAAGAAGTGATGTTGTGGCCCTACAAGAACCTCAATATTGCCGCACAAATTGGTATTCACCCAAAACATGCTGGTACTGCTAAATGAAGAGCTGTGAGGTTGCAATGGGTAATTTGACTTGTATCTTGTGGTCAAATTGGAATCCGCTAAGAATGTGTCCCGTTTTCGAGGGCTGAAAACACCATTTTGATCTGACCGCTTGAAAGGCCAAACATGGGTAAAAACGCCTCGGGTTGAATGCCTCAACAAATTCAGATATCCAAAACTCATGACGATCCTGGAAGAGGTTCCGAACCCTACAGGAACCCCCCTTGCAACCAAACAAACATATGACTTTGATTTTCGTTGGATTTTCACAAAAAATAACATGGATTTTTCCCAGTGCCCACATGCGGAAAACCAAGGCACATCCTGACCAAAGTAGGAGTCTCTGAAGCCATCATCCGCTGTGAGTTTGGCCTGGCTGAGGATTTACCATCCCATGGGCGGCGACCACGTGAAACATGGGGGGGTTCCATACATGGATGGTTTATTTCATGGAAAATCCCAATCTAAAACTGGTTGGTGGTTGGTCAATGTCTATCATAACCATTGATGGTTGAGGATTTAATCAATCATATGGGGATATGGATAGATGAATCAGTCTGGTTGGTGGTTGAGCCACCCCTCTGAAAAATGATTGAGTTCGTCAGTTGGGATGATGACATTCCCAATATATGGAAAAATCAAAGCCATGTTCCAAACCACCGACCAGAAAATGGATGACTTCGGGGTACCCCCATGACTTAGGAAACCTCCATCTTGTACCATGTTTTTTCGCCCTATGTGCAACTCACGCATCCCTCATTAAGAGGCTCCGGCTCCGCGCCTGTTCCTCGAAGGTGTCTGCCTTCCGAAGGAAGACATAGGCCGCACCACTGAAGTCCCCACGATCGTTGTCACCCGGGGCACCCACCTTTTCTTTTTCGCAAGACCCCTGAGGTCCACAAGATCTATGGGGTTACTGATGATTAATGGAACAAACCCAATAATTAGATGGATTAATATGGATTATATAGCATGGGTTAATAATGGATTCATATAACACTGGGTTAATATGGATTACCACTAATGGGATTAGAATCTACTTCATGGGATTAATATGGATTAATGATACTGATACAATATGAATATGGGATTCTAATGGGATGGGACAATCAATGGGAATTCCGCTTAGTGGAGATATATCATTGACATCAAACGTGACGGGCCGCTGGGAAATCCGCGAGATAAATGGATGTTGATAGCTGAGAAATTCATCTAACCAAATATACCAAATGGAGGCTTATGGTGATATAAGGGATGGTTCCGGATTGGTTTACCACATGAACCATGGTGAGCTACGTGGAAGAAAACCATCAAAATGCTACTTCAATTCCTATGGCTATCACTTGGCGATTTAATCCAGCAAAATTGCGGTTGAAGAAACAACATAGTGATGTTGAACGATATATAATAGCAATATATAGCTCTAAAGTTGGGGTATCAATCCACCCAACCATCCTATCATCCTACTGTTTGGTAGAATGTCATGACTTCTCTGAATAGGGGACCCCAAGCTATTATCCAAGCTATGAGTCATGGCCCAAGGCTACTGATATATCTTTTTAGATCAAAGAATCTAATGGGTAAACCAGCGAAATGCAAACCAACCCTCCTCTGGTTCATCTAACTTGGCAATGGGAAAGCTCAATGAGAAAAAAACATAATCCACAAAATGGAAAACTGCTGTCAAAAAATATCTACAAAAGTATAGACAGGACCCCCAATCCCACATTTACAATTCGGCAGTCCACGTCCATGGGCCAAATATCTCCAGTTGGGTGCCCGAACGGCGACTGTATCACCTGTGTCGACCATGGAATCATGGTGAAAACTAATGAAATGAACACTGTTCAAGGATCCATGGTGAACTTGATTACTAATATTGGTGAACTCATGGACTTTCAAAGGTGGCATAAAATCCATGAATTGAATTGAAAAAAAAGAAGAACATGCCACAAACATAAAGGATCATTATTAAAGGATATCATGGGATAAAACGGGATGTAAAGCCACCGAGTATGATACTTGGGTGTGTCTGACCCCAACCTTTTACTGGATAATATATGATAATATGATTAAACATAGGATTTGGGGGTACCTGATTTTCAAACACATCCAACATAATCATCCCAAAGTCGCCCCAAGTTGCTGAGGTCTAAACAGAGATGCTGACATGAGATGTGGTTTTTCCTTGGATTTACAACTTTAGTTGGCTACCACAACTGGTTTCCCCCCGAACCATAGCAAAAGCGCCCTCAACAAAAACCACAGATGGGGATACGTGATCAGCAAAACACTGGGAGATTGTGAGCGGGGAAGAACTATAATTGCGAATCTTCTGGCCAGCAAAGGAAGAATTCGTGGGGATATGGGTGTGTCTGAAAATGGTGCGTACTGCATACCCATCAAATAGCTATTTCAACGGGAAATACCATGAGAATACCATGAGATTAACTATCAAATTTGGTGGTACCCCTATTTTCAGACAAAGCCATGTAGCCATATATAGCCAAGCATGAATGGTTCTATACATTTCTATACCCAACAAACATAGTACCAAAATGGGCAGTAGAGATACCAATTGCCTTCTGTAGATCTTCAAATTGGCCGGGTTTTTTTCATTACCCATGTGTTGCCTGAAACTTGCTTGAGTTTTGCCAGTTTAGTCTAGTGATGTCTAGTTATGTCTATCATAGAATTGGATCATGGGAAAATTTACAGGAAAACCCTATATTTGATGGTAAAAACCATGGTTTCCGGTTAAGATTTTCCCTTAAACCAATCCAGTGATGTCTAGTTGATCATCATGTTTGGTGCTGGAAACACTGCAGATTGTCCCTCCAGACATCGCCCTGGATCCCGTCCTCCCCGATCGCCCGTGCGCCTGAAATCGACACGCTCCTGGTATTCATAGGAAACTTGGGCGGCTAAATGGGGTTGTTTAACGTTGTTAAACAGGTATTTCACCATGGTGTTAACCCAGGTAATCATGTTATTTGTTGTTATTTAACGTTATTAATAGGTACAGTATTAATATTCCATTTCACCGGTGCTATTACACCCAGAAAATAAATGGTTGCAAAGTGGAAATCCCAAGTTCAAAGATTGCGAGAATCCATCTATATACAGAAAGGATAGCGGAACCCCCAAAACTAATAATCAACCATAATCAACCATAATCAACCAATAACTGTTGGCATGCTAACATATATCACCATCAACTATCTCCACATAGTACACCCAGAAAAAATCGAAAAAAAATGGCAAAGAATCCTCATCCAACGGATCCAACCATGGTTTATCAATGACACTGGGCCACTGGGCCACTGGGCCACTGGGCCTTAAGCCAAGTTTCATCCCTGCCTCCGGCCCTCACCATGAAAAAACATAGCGATATTCACCAGCCAGTTGGCCAAGCCATTCGTTTGATGTTGAGACCCCGAAACTTCTGTGGTTTCATTTCGCAAAAATTGGCTTGGGGATTGGGGATGATAAAACACCAATTTGGGGAGAAAAATCACCACTGTTGGGGAATCATAGTTTGTTCTTATGATCAACACATAATACTGTACTTCAACCACCGTTTCTTCAATCTTCATCCCCAAGCCCGGCGCAGACTCACAAAACTGCTGCGCCTTCCGAAGCGATCTTTGAAGCTTCGTTCGGGAGATCGTAGCCGGACTTCTTGATCGATGGCCTTTTTGCCGAAATTTTCCGGGGGCCACAAAACCTGGTAGATAAACCTGGGCCCCGGGATTCTCAGATTTTAGTGAAACAAGATGAAGCCCACGAACCCGAATGCTCACACGTATGTTAATGGTACAGATGTCAAAACGCAGTCACACACAATACCTTTCTGCAATATTTTATTTGAACAGTCTTGTACATGTTTCCCTTGTTACCAGTCTGCAGTGTGGAGTGGAAGGTGTAGAGTGTGGAGTGTGAAGTAAGGAGTGTGGAGTGTAAAGTGTGGAGTGGGGAGTGAGAGTGTGTAAAGTGTAGAGTGAGGAGTGTAAAGTGTAGAGTGTGGAGTATGGAGTGTAAAGTGTAGAGTGTGGAGGGTAGAGTGTAAAGTGACGAGTGTAAAGTGTGGAGTGAGGAGTGTAAAGTGCAAAGTGTGGAGTGTGGAGTGTAAAGTGAGGAGTGTAAAGTGTGGAGTGAGGAGTGTGGAGTGTAAAGTGAGGAGTGTAAAGTGTGGAGTGTGGAGTGTGGAGTGGTAAAGTGTAGAGTGTGGTGTGTAGAGTGTGGAGTGTAAAGTGTAGAGTGTAAAGTGTAGGGTGTGGAGTGTAGAGTGCAGCGTGTGGAGTGTGGAGTGGAAAGTGTAGAGTGTGGTGTGTAGAGTGTGGGGTGTGGAGTGTAAAGTGTGGAGTATAGAGTGTGGAGTGTGGAGTGCAAAGTGTAGAGTGTGGAGTGTGGAGTGTAAGTGTGGAGTGTAAAGTGTGGAGTGAGGAGTGTAAAGTGGAAAGCGTGGAGTGTAAAGTGTAAAGTGTAAAGTGTGGAGTGTAGAGTGTATAGTGTAGAGTGTAAAGTGTAGAGTGTGGAGTGTGGAGTGTAAAGTGTGGAGTATAAAGTGTAGAGTGTGGAGTGTGGAGTGTAAAGTGTGGAGTGTAAAGTGTGGAGTGAGGAGTGTAAAGTGTGGAGTGTAAAGTGTGGAGTGTGGAGTGTAAAGTGTGGAGTGGAGTGAGGAGTGTAAAGTGTGGAGTGTAAAGTGTGGAGTGTAAAGTGTTGAGTGTGGAGCGTAAAGTGTAGAGTGTGGAGTCTGGAGTGGAAAGTGTATAGTGGTGTGTAGAGTGTGGAGTGTGGAGTGTAAAGTGAGGAGTGTAAAGTGTGGAGTGTGGAGTGAGGAGTGTAAAGTATAAAGTGTGGAGTGTGGAGTGTACAGGGAGTGTGGAGTGCGGTGTGTGGAGTGGAAAGTGTAGAGTGTGGAGTGTAAAGTGTAGAGTGTGGAGTGAGGAGTGTAAAGTGTGGAGTGGAAAGTGTAGAGTGCAGTGTAAAGTGTGGAGTGTGGAGTGTAAAGTCTCAGGTGAGGAGTGAGGAGTGTAAAGTGCAAAGTGTAAAGTGTGGAGTGTAAAGTGTAGAGTGTGGAGTCTAAAGTGTAAATTGTGGAGTGTAGAGTGTGGAGTGCGGAGCTTCCCCCATAGACACGGCGACGCCACAGGAAAACCAGCGACTCGAGACAAGACACGTGGATGCAGAAAAACCAGCATTTCATACGAGACGTCCTCCAATTTTCACAGTTGGCAACATGACAAAAGGAGAAGTTCTGCAGCTTCCCCCATAGACACGGCGAGGCCACGGGAAAACCAGAGACGCGAGACGAGACAGGTGGGAGCACCAAAACAAGCATTTCGTGCGAGACTTCCTCCAAATTTCACACTTTGTAGCTTCAAAATCGACGTTTTCCTACGAGTTTTCCTTAGAACCCGAAAATTGGCAACATCAAAATCGATGTTCCGTGCGAGGCTTCCGTCAATTTTCAGCACATCGCACAAAATGCCACGCCTGCCACAGAATTTGCACCTTGTCGCCACTTGACGCAGCCCTGCCAATGCGATTTGCAAAAAACACGCAACGCGACACGTCTAAAGTGCTGCGCCTGCCACGAAAAAGGCGCCCAAAGTGCTGCGCCTGCCACGAAAACTGCAACACATCTTCTGAAAACGTCGCAAAAGTATTGCGCCTGCCACACAAAACGACTTTCGACACGTTGCAGAACACGTCTGAATGTCACGAAGTGCCACGCCTGCCACGCGAAACGAAGCAACCAGACGTCTGAAACCTCCAAAAAGGACCACCTCTGCAAAACTTCCCATAGGCACGGCCATACGGGGATCGCACGAACGGTTGCGCTCGCGAACGCAACGTCGAGCG